GTGCTATCAGAGGAGAAATGTAATCATCAATTTCACCCCTTGAAAAAGTACACAAACATAACTCTTTTATCCAAAGACATATGACAAATTATATTATTCTGTGTCCTCAAAGCTAAAGAATTATAAATGTATTTCTTCTTCCAAGACTTTCATCAGAGAATCATAAAGACAGCTATGTACAAAGGGATGCTAATTGTAGAAATATGCTTTTTTTCAAGATTTTTTAAATATTTTAATTAAATTTCCTCTTATGAGACAATCCCAGAGAATGATGAGATATTACCTAGTGGCTATTTCCATTGAATTTAAAAGTGAAAAAGTATGAGGGTATAATATGTACTTCAATGAAAGACACTTGATATACGCAGAAAACAAAAGAGAATAAAATCTTACACCATATCTTTGAAAAGTTATTTCCTTAAAGATGACAATTTTCCTTAAATTATTATTGACAGTAATTTAATCCAATTTAACATGATTATTTTAGATTTCATCACAAAGAACCAGTAGATAAGAATACCTAATAATTCTTGAGTATATTTGAAGATTATAATATATTAATTCAATTAATATAAGCACAAATGGATCAATTGAACCAAATAATTCAGGAACAATAATATAACTATTCAGTTCTTTTAGTTTTTGATAAAGTGCCCTAACAAATGAAAAATGACAGTTCTATTTCGTGAACTAGGTTGGACAATTGACAACAGCCTGGAAACAAATCAAATTAGATCTTTTCTGCACATAAAAATAAAATTTGAATACAATATAAATTAATAAAACCACATATTTAAAACAAAAAAGTGAAGTTTTGTGCATCTCTGAATGAAAAAAGATTTTTCTAAGCTGGAAAGCAAAGGAAGAAATCAAACATGAAGTTGTGTGTTGCATTTTAATACTAAAATTATTAAATAAAAAAGACCAAACTGAAAAAAGAAATCTGCAACATATATAATCTGTCCAAGTCTGTGTGTGTGTCCATATGTGTGTATGTGTGTGTACATGTGTGTATGAAAATCAATAAGACAAATCATTAAATGATAAAAGTGTGTAAATAGCCAGTTCAAATAGGAAAATAGTTTGCCAACCACATAAAAACATTCAATAACACTAACAAAATCTAAAATAGAGTGTAAATATAATAAAAATAGATATCAAATTTCAAAGGGAATTATTTTTAACAATAATACTCATTGTTAAGGAAAAATACACATATAAACTTGAATATTCATTTAGGCAAAATATATGGTGATCATTTATATGTAGAATTTATAATTTAAAATACTGAATGATTCAGGTGTCAAAAAAAGAGGTTGATGTACATGTATGAAATTATCCAAAACCAAAATTAGTCGTTAAAAAATAAAATAAGAGATTAGTAAAAAAAAAAAAAAAATGGTTCATTTACAACTTAGGTGAGCTGAAATATACCCATTATAACATAATGCCTTTAATTTATTTGTTAAAATATTACATATAAGTCAGATATTCTATACTATGTGGAAATTATAGATGTACATGTTAAAAATTATTCATTTTATTAAAATGTAGAGGAAACTTTACTGAAAACTTAAGTCATAATATTAAAAATAATTTTTCAATTCCATTTGTCTTTAAGTCATAATATTATAGATTTCTCTTCAATTACATTATCTGTTTTTAAATTTTATATCACAAATAAGTGTAAGGGACTATTGTGACAGACTTTTAATTCTAATTTTATTTAGGAAAAATAATTGGAAGAAAAGCTTCTTTTTGTAAATGAAGAGTAGAATCTTATAGATAGAAAACTTTTACTATGTTTAAAACATTCTGTTTTCTAAAATCTAGCAGGAGAAAAGGTCCTGTGTGAGAGCCATGCCTGAGATTTAATCTGAAAAAGAGGCACATAAAGTTTGAAAATACAATTCGAAGCATACATAGTTTGAGGCATGCAATAAAAATAGATAAACTAGAGTTCAAGCAAACATTCTTGGTTAGTGAGAATGAACACAAGATAGAACAAAGTGGCACTGAGTAAAATGCAATTATTGTATGTTTTTTCATGCATATAGGATTTTACTTTTTTCTCCTCTATATCATGCAACTTAGTAATTTAAATTAGGAGTGTATGGTTTGTTGCAAATAACATTTTGCAAGTACCACATAGTGCCAGTAAGAGAGAATGAAATGTTTGTGTGTATCAAAAGGGAAACTTGGCTCTAAAAAGAAGAAGAAGAAGAAGAAGAAGAAGAAGAAGAAGAAGAAGAAGAAGAAGAAGAAGAGGAGGAGGAGGAGGAGGAGGAGGAGGAGGAGGAGGAGGAGGAGGAGGAAGAGGAAGAGGAAGAGGAAGAAGAAGAAGAAGAAGAAGAACTGATCAAAGGCAAAAGCGGGGGGAGGTATTGTCTCTACCATAGTCTGGCCATAACTCTGAAAATCCATAGGGCAGGGCATCATTCTAAAGGGAGGACAATTCTCTACTTTTCTATTTTCATAAGAATATGTTTTCATAGAGAAATTAGTCAACAACAACAAACATAAAAATTACATTTATAAGGCATTCACCTTCAGTGAAAACTAGAATGCTGAGAATTTCCTTACATGTTTCCAGCCTACATGCCCAAAACCTTAAAGTTTCTTTTCTTCAAGATTACACTTAAAGAAATCTTTTGTAACAGAGAAAACAAGCTTCTGTTTTATATGCATGTAAAGTTAAGCCCCAAAGAATTTGAATGACTCCCTAGAGCCCACACCCTGGCCTCTTGTCAGTCCAGTGTACTTTGTGGTAGAGTACACTATGTCTGAACAGTTCGTTTAATTCCAAATTGTTTGCTGAATGTCTATTATGTACCAGGATACATTCCTGGTACTGCAGAAGATTTTTTTTTCTTCAAGAAGGTATTTTTTTGTGGTAGAATGCATATGTAAGTAAACAAGCTAGTATTAGTAAGTTTAAAGTTCCTTGAATAAAAGTAATGGGATAGCATCAAAGAGAGGGCACTTACATTTTTTTTAGAATGATCACGGGATGTATGTTGAACAGAATATGTAAAACTCGTAAGTAGGGAACAGCCTTGTTGGTAACCTTCAGGAATAACCAGGTGGTGTGTAAAAGTCTTAGGTATACTGTCTCCCACTCTTGCTCCCCTATACAGGCTTCATTTGAACCTTCAGTTTTTTTCCCTTTAGGTTAAGGAGCATGCTACCTCCATTATCAGTTTGCCCAGAGCAATCTGTTTCACTCACCATCCTTCATCTTTCAGCAAGAAAAAAGCCTAAGGATCCTCGTTGACTTTTCTTGCCCTTCCTAAGGTTTCATTTGGGAACATAAAGGTCCAAGCCCAGAGCTAGCTCAGAAAGAAAAAAAAAATTTTTTTTTCAGGCACATACAAAATTTTGGGTTCTGTCCCCAAAACTGAAAAATTATTTTCCACATATTTTTCTTGAAACCTTTATGATGAATGTATTTAGCATAATTTGAAAACTGCCACAAATAAACTTAGGGCATTTTTTAAAATCAATATACAATGACGATCCTTTAACACAGTCCTCTATTTAATCTTTATTTTCTGACCCAGAAAGCACTTCAAAATTTTGCAGTGTTATCATCATGTTCAGAACTCACTACCAAGCATTTTTCTTAGTTTTGTTTCAATGTAGACTTTACTGTGCTAGAGTGAGGTTTTTTTTGAGAGGTTTTTTTCCTATCCTGCTTACAGTAATGCTTGAAATAAGTCCTTCTGTAGAATGCCTCTATGAGTACTGAAATAAATTGTCCAAAAAAGAGATTAATAATAAGCCAACCTTGCTGAACTTTTTGCAGAGTGTCAAGCCCAACGCTCACTTTTTTTTTTAATGCATGGAAGTGTTTAATCGTCACAGTCCCTTGCAATATGGAATTAATTTAAACTCAAAGGCTACAAGATTGGTTTACTGAGATAACAAATTTACAGTCTTAACTACAGTAGGATTCAATCTCAGATCTACTTGCGCAGGGGAGATTGCGAACCAAGATGCAGCTGCATCTGGTTCAAAATGAAGCAAGAGGCTAAGAACAGTCTAGGCAAAGAGCAGAGTGGAATCATCACAATGGTGTTTTCTTTCTGTGCTCTTTAAAACTGTTGCCAGCCCTATCTTTCATTAGACATCCCACGTTTTAAAACTCCTGACCCCTCTCATAAAGCAAAGTAACTCATCAGCTCCAGAAAGCCATCTGTATTCTTTCACACGCATCCTCCTCAATATTGTACTGCTTTTTGTGTTGTTGTTGTTGTTGTTGTTGACGATGATGATGATGTTTAATATGATCTTACTGTGTAGCCTTGGCTGGCATGGTGACTGGCTATGTAAACGAGGCTAGCTACGTGTTACTCACACAGGTCTGCTTGCTTCTGCCTTCTCTTGTGCTGCATTCTTAAAATGATGAATTCCATGTCCTGGTTGGCCACTTCTCCAAGCACTTTCTAGATGCTTTTCTTTTGGTGTACCACTTCCAAACACGTTTGTGGAAAATTATATAGAGAGAGTTCTTCCTTTTCCTTAACTCATGGCCCAGAATATGAATAGCCCAACTTCTCAGGGCTTCACCATCCTGGTGTCTACTTGAAATCAGAGCAGAAGCCCAGAGCATGGCTCTTTCTTAAATTAACGGTAAATTCTAGGCCATGGTTTTCCACTCTAAAGGCTATTCAGTAAAGTTTCCCCAAATACACTGTTTAAACCCAATAGATGAAATCCCTGGTGAGGAACGTACACCCAAGTACTGCACAACACAGCCCTGGGCTGAGTCTGGGGAAGGTTGGGACCATGCGTGAGAGATGGAAGAGTACTCAGAGTTCCTGTTGCCTGTGTCCCTGAGAACCTTTGCCAAAAGCTGTAACCCCCTGCATTCCTTCCAGCCCTCCCTGCGAGGTCAGGCTATACGTGCTACCAGCCTACCACTACCACAATGTACTCACAACACACACAGGCAGTACATGCCAGGGACACTTTCGCAGTCTCGCAGCAGATGTACTCACAAAACACACAGGCAGTACACTCCAGGGACACTCTCGCTGTCTCGCAACAGGTAGCTTCCATCCAGCCCTGTTGCAAGTAAGAGCTTCTCCCCGGTTTCTCTGCTGATTTTTCCGTGGTACACAGTCACTGAATCCATGCCTAGTGGACTCTTTGATGGTCTCAGAAGAAAGTTGGCAAAAGGGAAAGATTACTGCTGCTAGTGCTGCTGCTGCTGCTGCTGCTGTTACTGTTGTTGTTGTTGTTGCTGCTGCTGCTGCTTGGCACAATCAGCCACCTGACTCCCAGGGCAGCCAGTATGAAAAAAAAAAAAAGAAAAGAGATGAGCACCCAACAACAGGATGTTGTCTACCTGTCTTAAAACCTCTTCTCACACTTCAACTAAGGCCAACTCAGCATTTTAGCAGCTTCAGACTTGTCATGGAGTTTGATCGCCTGCTCTCCAACACATGGTTCACGGTGGGGGAGGGGGCACACTGCAAAGATGAACACTTGTTATAGTTGAGCTGTGCCAGCAATGCAGACCGACCTTGCACAAAGATGAGAAACTTGATAGTGCTTTTGTTCTTGTGTAGTTCCTGTAACCTGCCATCAGCAATGACTTGGCTTGACTAGTATACAAAAGAATTGGTGATAGAAGCAAATGGTACATGTCATCATGAGGAACAGAAAATGACGGACTGAAAAATGAATAAAAACACTAAAACTACAAAATCACAGCAGAACATTGCCATGAGGCTTCTATAGCATCACCAAGTACTGTTAAACTATTTATGGACTTTGGGAATAGATCTTGCTGAACAAGCATTTTTTTTTTCTTCAAGATGACAGAATCCAGGACCTCACAGATGAAGTCATCTACCACTAAGCCATATGTCAACTCCTTGAATAAGTTTAGGCCCTGCAAATATTAATTTTTACCTTAATATTTTGTCTAAGATCCAAACATATCAGTTTAGTCACAAAAAATGTAATTGTGTTTAAAAAAAAACATTTCACATAAATCTAGCTGAAGAGTTTAGGAAGAACAAATCCTTTTTTGGTGCTGCTTTTGTTTAAATTATTAAGATTACAATATAATTACAGCATTTATTCTTACTGTTTTCACCTCTGAAACCTTCCCATATAATCCTCCCTGCTCTCCTTCAACATTGTTATTGCATGCATATATGTATATGTGTATGATTCCTAAACACAACCTGTTAAGTGTGTATAATGCAAATACAAATACGTATGTATGTTTTCAGGGATGGCCATTTGGCATCAGACAACCAATTAGTGTACTCTTCCCTGGGGAGACCACTTCCTCTACTCTCAGCTTTACTCAGCCACCTAAGTTCTTCAAGTGGAGTTGCCATCTCATGGGCTTTTTCTGTCCAATTTGGTATGTCCATCGGTGTTGTATGTGAACATCTATGTGCCCTATGGTGATAGAGGTAAGCCCAAATGTTTTAGATACAAAATCTATTTTATATTATTGTGCAACTGTTGATAACTATAACTTCTATTCGCATACATAAATGCCTACATCAATGTTAAAGACATCAGAAGTTAACTTAACCAGAACCCTGTATTTGAGAATAGTTACTACTTTGGAAGTTAATTACAATTATGGCATTCATATCAAATATGAAAGGGAAGGGGAATCCTCTTTTATTGAGTCAGCACCCCACCTATCGTGTAACTGCTGGAACATTCAGTGTTACATTGGTTAAAAAATAAAACCTAACTTTTTTTTTTTTTCAGTCTCTGAACATCTGCAAACTTAGGAACAGAGTTACCTGGATCTGACAGTGTAAGCATACCATACATTCTTTTTTTTTCTCTTTTATTCTGCATGGCTAAAATAGCACACTTGTCAAAGCAGACAGGTACAGTAAGGTTCAGCCCAACTAAAATCATAAAAAAGAAAGAACAGTTAAATTATAAGCTAATGGTACAACTCTCACATCCAGGACCTTATTGTCACCTTACAAGCAAGCTGACAGGTGACCAGCCCACTAGTGCAGTGTTGATGAAAAGTACTTACATCTTCACTCTCCTGCTACACAGGCACTAAATCTGACTTTGGCAAATTCAGACTTCACACAGAGCTTGAGGTGTAGAAAACAGAGGAAATGAAACAGCTTTCTCCCTTCTCTGTCCCTTTGTTATATTGTGCAGGAAATTCAACTGGCCTTTGCTTAGGGACCATTAGGGTCCTGACAATGTCCTATGTCAGTACCTGCATCCTATGACATCATCTGGGCCAGGTACACAGTAATCTATCCACTACAACCCCTCTCTGGCCCTCCCCCTCTCTTGCTTTCTCTCCTTTCTCTGTTGGAGTGTCCCCTCCCCCCACCATGTCTCTCTTTCCTTTTGCTCTCTATCTCTCCACCTCCATTCAATAAACCTTTCATATAATACCTGTTGTGTATGTGGCATCATTTTTAAATAACTATTAATACCCTGTACCCACAATACAAAAAAACAAAGATCATATAATGGAAAGGGGAAGATAATAGAGGTGCTAATAGATGAAGGAATGGACTACCACTTTTGAGAAGAAGAATTTGCTTGTTTATTGACTGTTTCTGCCACTTGACCATAACAGCTTTTTTTATTACTGTATCCTCAGTGACTGACACACAGTGGATGCTAAATATATACATTTTAGTGAATGAATAAACGGCTGAAATTAAAGCTGTCAAGAAAACAATCTGAAATTCTCCTTCTTTCTGTCTCTGTCTGTCTTTGTCTCTCTCTCATTCTCTCTCTCTCTCTCTCTCTCTCTCTCTCTCACACACACACACACACACACACACAATGCTTTTACATGCCTTTGGCTCCCCTTAGAAACAGCAATGTGAATTGGAAAGAGCACTAGTGAGTGAAATAATTATGAGATCTGAATTGTACTCCACCTTTTACCACTAAATTGCTTCCTCTCTCTGAGCCTTATTTTCTCCATCTGTCAAATGAAATTGAGCCAGATGACCCCTAAGTAGTCATTTCCGGCCTTAAAGGTCTGTGCTCTAAACAAAAGCATTAATTAATTAATTAATTAATTAAAGTTGAGAATAACAGAGGGGTAGCTCATTTCTGTGGAAGAAACAAAATCTTGGAATCTCAATATGTTCTCGTTTTTTTTTAAAAAATCTAAGAAATAAAAATCATAGCAGAGGAAGAGAGCTTTATGTTTTAAAGAAAACTTTTTGAATATAGATGCCATTTAAATCAAACACAAAAACATTGAAAGCTAGGAAAACTGTCAGCCAAGGTTGAAAAGGTCTTCTTATCTAAACTTGACACCTCCTGAGATCTCTGAGAAGTGACAGGAGTTTGCATGTGGATGCTCTGTCTGAGGTGCTAATTGTCTACATTCCAAATGCCCTAGGCTATTTTGGAGCCCAGGTAGATTAAAAGAATGATGCCAAGGGTGGTCAGTTCTGTAGAGTAGATATGACATTTCATAATCTTTTTCTCTAACCTTTCAAAACTATCTTTGTTCTTCTACCAGCTTATCTAAAAAGTGTGAATTCTCCTGTGACTATGTTATGATGTGGTGAGTTTACACATTCTCTTGGCACATTCTTTTGTACTTCCTTTACAAGAATAAGAAAAAAAAATAGTCTTTTAAAAAGAGAGAGAGTACCTCCTTTCATTAACACCTAAATTTATTTATAAGGTTAATAATTTTGAAATGTTCTCTTCAAAGAGAGAAAGCAGACACAAGAATGCTAGGGCTATTTGTTTAAACCTGTTAAATATTTTTTTTTCCATCTACTAATAACCTTCTGTTGTATGTCAGATACAATAGTTGGTTGTCAAGTTTGAAAGAAGAAAAACAGTACCTGTCCTCAAGTAGCTCACAGTATGATGTAAACAGACAGCTACATTCAGGCTCCTGTGTTGAATGCTTGGTGCCCATCTGGTGGTGCAATTTTTGGAAAAGGTAGAAATGTTAAGACATGGAGCCAATTTAAACAAAGTAAGTCACTAGACATATGCTTATGAAAGGTACATCTAATTCCAAGTCAAATATTCTCATTTTCTCTCTCTCCCTTTCAGTCTCCCTTTCTTCCTCCACCTCTCCATATTCCTCACCATCTCACACCGCATTTCCCATCCACCATAAAGTAATCAGCATTACTCCTCCACACTCTCGTACCTCACTTAGTTCTCTGGAACCATAGGCAAATTATTCCAGACTTAAATTATTCATGTCAAGTATTTTATCATAGCACTACAAAAGTACACGCTATGATAGAGAAAAGGGTGGAGTCCTCAAAGCACAGCAATACTACACGTAACTCAATTTTTATTCTGAACATATACAACCTACTTGATGTAATAATGTTTTTATCTTTCTGTTTGCTATGTATAGTTACTTCCTCTACTTTGCCTAATTTTATCTCTATCTTAAATTCAAAGAAATCTAATTCTAGCTGAAATTGCATGTTTCTGGGCTTCTAGTCTTCATTTGTTAGTATGCTTTAGAAATATCTTGTTTGGATGGTCTGCTGTTCAGGTTTCTGGGCCCAGAATATGGATCATCATGAGTTATTCATCCATCCATCCAAAATAATTGTACTCTGGTGCTGAAATGATCTAGCCAGGTTCAATGGCACATGACTGTAGTTCAGCATTTGGGAAAATTTATTGAGCCCAGAAATTTAAAACCAGCCATGAAAACCATAGAGAAAATATTTCTTAAAAATTGGAAAGTAGATAATCTAGGTATCTTCTGTCCAAGTCAGAAATTGCTACACAGATAAAGCCAGTGCTCAATTCTCCTTTTCTAGATCAAATGAAGGCAAGCCCTTGGCAGTTTTACTTATTTTTTTCTGTGAATATAAAGAAGATGACATATCCAGTTTGCCTGAAACCTAACAGATGCTCAAGAGCTTTTAGCTATGAGATTGAGAAGACATTTAAACCTGTTAAATATTATTATCATTATTCCAGCTACTAATGACCTCTATTGTATGTCAGATAAAACAATTGGCACTTAGGTTAGAGAGAAGAAAAACATAGTACATGTCCTCAAGTAGCTCACAGTAGGATGTCTCCCACATTCCTCTTAGTGCATATAAATCAAAACAAGTACCTGACAATTGGTTAACATTATTCTTTCCTTCCCTTCTAAGAGTGTGG